CCTGCTGAAGCTGGAGGGGACACGGCTGGTGCTGGAGCTGGAGCAAAACTGGTGAGTCGTCAGCTGGCTGGGGTAGAGCAGGGGTGGGAGTGGGATGGGGGTCCCGGGGGTCCCGTATCCATGAATGGTGCATGCAGGATGGGGGTGTCATGGGCTCCGTGCTGGAGCTGGAGCAAAACTGGTGAGTCGTCAGCTGGCTGGGGTAGAGCAGGGGTGGGAGTGGGATGGGGGTCCCGGGGGTCCCGTATCCATGAATGGTGCATGCAGGATGGGGGTGTCATGGGCTCCGTCTCCATCCATGGTGCACAAGGGGTGGGGGTCTGGGGGACCCTCTCTCCGTCCATGGTGCACATGGAGTGGGGGTCCCTTGTTCCTCTTCTCCATCATGGTACACGTGGGGTGGGGGTCCCAGGCACCCTGTCTCCATCTGAGGTGCACCCACAGCAGGGTGGGAGGTACCAGGGTCCCCATTTTCATCGGTGGCGTGCTCAGAGTGGGGTGAGCTGGGGGTCCCTGCTGCGGGGGTGACGCATGCCTCTGGCAGGGAGCTGGTGCTGGGCGCCGGGGCGCTGCTCTACTACCTGCCCAACGGCACGCGGGTGACGCAAGAGGCCAGCAAGCAGGTAGGGCCCAGGCGTGTCGTGTCCCCAGCGGTGTCCCCGAGCCATCCCTGTGCCCCAGGGAGACCCCAGTACGGGGCTGGCTCCTGAGTCCCCCTCTCTGCTGCAGGAGCACTGCTGCTACCGGGGGACAGTGCGGGGCTTCCCCGGCTCCTGGGCCAGCCTCTGCGCCTGCGCTGGACTCAGGTGAGCCCCCAGCCCCGGCGGGCTCCAAGCCTAGCTCCCACCATGCTGCTGATGCCTCCTCTCCCCTTCCCCAGCGGCCACCTCCGGCTGTCAGAGACCAGGAGCTACGGGCTGGAGCCGGATGCTAGCAGCTCCCCAGGGCGGCACATCGCATACCGGCTGCGGGAGGTCCGGCTGGCACCGCGGGCCTGCGGGCAGGACCCCCCGGACCCACGCCGGGCGGAGGCGGAGGAGACGGAGCCCCCTTGGCCGCAGAGGGTAGGTCACCCATGGGTCTTGCCCTGCCGGAGAGCGTCCCCTCGCCCATGCCCTGACCCTGACCCCCTCTCCTCCCCAGGGCAAGCGGGCGGTGGCAGAGCAGCGGTTCGTGGAGCTGGTGATGGTGGTTGACCACGCTGCGGTGAGTGCTGGGCAGACGTCCCCAGCGCAGGAGCTGCCCTGCTCCCCCGCCGGCCCCCCTGATGCCTCTCCCTGCACCCTCAGTTCCAGAATTACCCCGACATGCAACGTGTTCACACCCGGACCCTGGAAATCGCCAACCAGGTGGATGCGGTGAGTTGCCACTGTGACCCGCTGGCCACCATCCATCCCAGCCCGGTGCTCGGCTTGGCTGTGCCCTCGCTGCTGTGGTGCCGGGGGTCTCTGACACCCCCGTGTCCCCCAGTTCTTCCAGCCGCTGGGAGTGCGAGTGGTCTTGCTGGCGGTGGAGGTCTGGAGCGAGGGCGACAGGTTCGTGGTGGGCGGCAGTGCCCGGGCTGCGCTGGAGCGGTTCCTGCGCTGGCGCCGGGAGGAGCTGCTGCCCCGGCTGCCCCACGACAATGCCCAGCTCCTCACGTGAGTGGGGGACGGGACAGGGACAGGGGACAGGGCGCGCAGGCAGCCCTCCCCGACCCCTGCACTCTCTCCCCAGAGGTGCCCGCTTTGACGATGTCTCAGTGGGAATGTCAGCTCAAGCCTCCATGTGTTCCCCAGCGCGCTCCGGGGGGGTCAGCATGGTGAGTACCCGCCATCCCCACCCCGTCCCCCTGCTGCCTGCCCACACTGACCCCGCCTTGTCCCACAGGACCACTCGGTCAGCGTTCTCGTCGTCGCCTCCACTGTGGCCCATCAGCTGGGGCACAACCTGGGCATGCGCCACGACAGTGCCAGGCGCTTCTGCGACTGCAGTGACCTCCGGCAGGACCGCGGCTGCATCATGGCGTCGCCCACGGGGTGAGAGCAGCGGGCAGGGCTGTGGGGGGCTGGGGCTGAGTGCCCTCCCCACCTCACCATCCCCTCTCTGGCTCCGCAGGCTGACGCCCGGCTTGAGCTTCAGCAACTGCAGCCGGCAGGACCTGGAGCGCAGCCTGCGGCAGGGACAGGGCTGGTGCCTCTCCAACGTCCCTGAGCCCCGGCGCCTGGCCGGGAGCCCCCGCTGTGGAAACCGCTTCCTGGAGCCGGGCGAGGGCTGCGACTGTGGCCTCAGCGTGGTATGGGGGGCTCTGGGCGGGCTGGGGTCCCCCCTGCGACCACCCCCCTTCTCCTGAGCCCGGGGCTGCCCATGCCATGGCTCTGCCCAGGGGCACCGTGTCCCCACCCTGCCAAGGGGCTGGCAGGGGGGATGCTGGTGCCACCCGCTCACCGCAGCCCCTCTGCCAGCAGGAGTGCACGGATCCCTGCTGCAACAGCAGCACCTGCCAGCTGGTGCCCGGGGCCGAGTGCGCCACAGGGGAC